TCTATGTATCACATGGGTGAACTGGCTGTATTGTGTAGTTTTATCTATGTATAGCATGTAGCATGCGTCTGTGGTTATGGTCTATGTATCGCATGGGTGAGTAGCATACGTCTATGGTTAAGGTCTATGTATCACATGGGTGAGCTGGCTGTATTGCTGTAGTGTTATCTATGTATAGCATGTAGCATGCGTCTGTGGTTAAGATCTATGTATCACATGGGTGAACTGGCTGTATTGTTGTAGTTTTATCTATGTATAGCATGTAGCACCCGTCTGTGGTTATGGTCTATGTATCGCATGGGTGAGTAGCATACGTCTGTGGTTAAGGTCTATATATCACATGGGTGAGCTGGCTGTATTGCTGTAGTGTCATCTATGTATAGCGTGTAGCATGCGTCTGTGGTTAAGGTCTATGTATCACATGGGTGAGCTGACTGTATTGCTGTAGTGTCATCTATGTATAGCATGTAGCATGCGTCTATGTTTAGTAAGTACTAGTTGTGTGCATTATAGCTTGCGCTGTCTGCATATAGCATACTCCGCCCATATATCGTATGAACGATCTAAATATAGTACGAGCTGTGTATAAATAGCATGAACTGTATATAAACAGCATTAGCTGTGTATAAATACCATGAACTGTCTATAAATAGTATGAGCTGTCTATAAATACTATGAGCTGTCTATAAATACCATGAACTGTCTATAAATACCATGAACTATCTATAAATTGTATGATCTGCCTATAAATAACATGCCTTGTCTATTAATTCATCCTATAAATAGGATGATCTGTCTATAAATAGCATGGGGTGTACTAATATAGCTTGAGCGGTTCAGGTAAGGACCTAAGCTTAACTTGGAGTGCTGGTATAAAGTAGCTGTGGGTCTTATATGCCTGTCTGTGGTCTACATATACGACACCTCTAATTGAAACAGGGAGTACCCTCGGGCGGTTTGTGTATTGTACCGAACTGCTCAGCGACGGGTTTGTCGCTTTATGTTGTACTAGCCCGTTTAAATTTGTGTCGCAAACTATTAACCTCATGTCGTTTATTCTGTTTTTTTTACTACAGAGTAACCGATCAGATCCTTCAACTAGTTCCCGACGTCCACACATTCCGACTCGCCTTGCGCGCCATTAAAATGTGGGCCAAAAGGAGGGCCATTTATTCCAATGCGATGGGCTTTTTAGGAGGTGTTGCTTGGGCGATGATGGTGGCCCGGGTGTGTCAACTGTACCCCAACGCGTGTGCTGCTACTCTCGTGTCGCGGTTCTTCCGCGTTTATCAGCAATGGTCCTGGCCGAATCCGGTAGGTAATATGGCTTTTAAATGTGTGTATGTGTGTATACGTATATGTGTACATCTGTGTGTGATTTGTATGTAAATGTGTATATCGGTATGTATATATATATATATTTATATATATATGTATATATATATATATATTTATATATATATGTAAGTATATATATATATATATATATATATATATTATATTATATTATTTATTTATTTATATATATAATAAATAA